GCGGTATGCCGCCTGCGGACGGTCGCGCCGAGGTAGACGCCTCCGCGTCCAGCGGGATGCCGCCTCCTCCGCTGGGGACGCCCGACTTCGATGGTGGCCGCGGCGTGGTCAGGAGGCCGTACAATTGCGACTTCTGCGACGCAAGCTTCCCCGTCTCCTCGTTCTTGGTGCCGTGTGACGACCAGGGCAACGTGCCCCAAGGTTCGGCCCGCGTCGCCAGGGGCATGCAGACCATCGCGGACATGTGTGGCGAGAAGCAGGAGTTCAAGAATACCATCGACATCGACGAGGACAAGCCCGATTTGCGCCACATGTGCTTCTCGTGCTTCGGCGAGCGCACCGAGGGCGACTCCGAGTACTATGTCAAGGAGAGGGACGGCGACAAGGTGCGCTTGCATGCTTCGTTTGGGAACGTGCGGAAGAGGTACTTCGGGCGCGACTCGAGGTCCGAGGCCGACGTGTTGCAGCACTTGGCGGCGAAGGCGTTCGACCGAATGCCGTCCGACGTGACCTGGGACGAGGTCTACCACAAGGTGTGCGTCCAGAGCGAGGTGGCCGCTGCTGGGGATTTCCACGTCGTGCTGGGCGGCGGCGTGCTGCTCATGTACAGCTGCCCCAAATGCTTCTTCCTCCCGGTGAACCCGAAATTCTGGCTCCGGTGCGTGAAGTCCCAGCATCGGCACGAGCCGGGTAAAGACGCCGAGGGAGGACACTGGCGCTGCCCGTTCGAGGGTTGCCTGGAGAAGTGGACGTGGGGAGCTGCCGGGAAGTTGCGGGTCATCCTCATCCCGGAGGTCGAGGGGAGCGGCCTGCAGAAGATGGTCATTGGAGCGACGTCCGAGAGCCAGGAGCACACCATTACCTTGCTCAAGTCCGCGAAGCTGCTGGAGACAGTGAAGCGCGAGGACGGCTCCATCCAGCAGATCGGCACGGCTGCGCTGGTGGCCGCAATCAAGAAGCTCAACGAGGAGGCGCAGGGACAGGTGCTGGCCTCCGGGCTCCAGGTGCACAACAAGAGAACGGCGGGGAAGGTGGAGATCAAGAATAAGGGCCTGTTCCCGTATTGCTCCGACCCCGCCCTCATGCTGGGCCACCCGGGCGCGACGTGCAGGGCGTTGCATCTCCCCCCGGACACGCCGGCCATCTCGCCGGGCTTCCTGCAGGAGGTCCTCGACGTGCTCGTGTGCTTTTACGACTTGTCTCAGTGCAAGGTGGGCGGCGGCCGCGCAATCCGGGAGGCGTACCGGGCTGCCGTCGCCACGCAGAACGCCAAACGCGGCGTCTACTTCCCGGGGTGAGCCTTGCTCACTGCTCCTCTCCCCTTCCTCCCCGGGCAGTGCACCCTCAGGGTCAGCCCCCGTCTCGCTTTCTCCCTGCTCGGCATTGCACCCTCAGGGTCAGCCGGTTTCCCTGTTCGCCTTGCCTCCTCTTCCGTTTTCGCTGCGCAGATCAGGTCAGTTGGCTCGACAGCGCGGAGCAGGCTTGGGCATTGCACCCTCAGGGTCAGCCCTCGCCCCCGCGTCTTTCGCTCGGCTCTGCCGCTCCTGCTTTTGCCGCGCAGATCTGGCAAGCTGGCCCGACAGCGCGGCGGGAAAGTCTGCCCACGCGGCAGATGTCCTGCCAGCGCGCCGTATACGGCGCGTTGGCAGGACATCTGCAGGTGCCCGCCAGCGTCACCTGCCGCGGCATAAACGAAGACGCAGCGGGGTAGTCGGCGCGCCGCTCGCCATCGCTTCGACGGTCACAGTGTAAAGTTTAAGCGCTTCGCGCACCCCCCATCGGCCCATCCAGAAACGATGTCCACACGAGTTGAGGTGATCAGGGAAGTGCGGGATCAAAGATGGGGACAGCCGAACCGCACTCTTGAGCGCTTTTGCGGCCGCATCCGAGCTCCCTTGGGCATCTCTCGGGGCCCTCATGGGCCATCACGGGGCAATCTGGAGGCTCTGGGAGGCCATCGGAAGCGAGCGGGCAACAATGCCAAAACCATTGGTTTTCCATTTGTTCCCCATATCCTATGATGGGGTTCTTTGTGTTACTTCACCGCGCCTGAGGAACAGGAATAGGAAGAAGGATCACAGGATCACACATACTCACTCAACACTCAGACTTATAAGCTTGAATTTGCAGGAAGTCTCAGGCGGAAGCCTCGTCTCTGATTGAATTGTGAGGAAGTCTCAGGCGGGAGCCATATGGGGCCCGCAGATCATGTTGGTAATCCGAGCGGGTCATCGGAACCCTGTACCACTTAGGGCCACGCAGGTGCACTCAACAGGTCCGTAACCATTTTCGGTTCAAGCATGTTGATTCTGACCCACGCTATCTCTCGGAGACAGCGATGCTTCAGGTTGCCCGTCCACGGTTGGTGAATGATTCCTTCTTGCGCGTGTTCTTCCAGATGTGGAAGGCTGTGGGCCATGCCAACAAGTACCCGCTCATGCAAACCGCCGATGACATCATATACGATCCAAGGAGGTGCCTCACCTTGCACATGTACGACTTAAATGCGGAGTTCAAGCCTCATTTGAACCGGCTCTACGACCAGTTCTACAATGTATTCAGCGAGGCTGGCTGCAGGGACACGATTGGCATCATCGGGCTTGCTGCGACGCACATCTGCTGGCCACATATCAAAATGCTCTCGTACAGGGGGGCCGTCTGGGACAGGAAGCGCTGGTTTGACCCAGGCAACTTCGTGTACACGCTGTTCTGGCTGTTGCTGGGGCAGATGGCGCACCACGTTCTCGGCCGCCGAGGCCCTTCCCCGAATGTCAGACTGGTGGCGAGCAAGTGGAAGGTGCTTCAAAAGATGGTGCGCACAAGGTGGCCTCGCACACATGACACCAACCACTGGCTCGAACTCCACGGCGACTTGCTGGAGATGACACTCGGAGTCGGGTACATGGATCAGGATCGGTATTGGGGCGTGATTCGTGCGCTGTCGCCGATCCTCGCCGAGATCTCACACATCGTGACGTTTATAGACGTGCATGGTGCCGCATCTAGGGTTGGACGGAACGGCCCATTTTTCAGGGGTGGTGCAGCGCCGTACACGCGCAAGCTTGCAGTGTCAATGTACCACGCCATGCTTGTGCAAAAGTTCAGTGTTGGCCCTGATGCACAGAATTGGGCCGACTTCCTGAATGTTGCCAGCCATCACAGGCTGATGTATTGATGGCCTGCACTGGGCCTTCGCTGAATAGTGCTTGTACAGCACCCGCGTTGCATGCAGTCTGGCCATTGCACACAGTCTGGCCATAGGACCAAAACAGGGTGTACTACGACGGCGGCGGCCCTCCTCCTCATCCTCCTCCTCGGGCCAGACCCTAGCGGCCCTCCTCCTCCTCCTCCTCGGGCGGCCCCAGGGGACCGTTTCGGACCAGACCCTAGCGGCCCTTCTTCTCCTCCTCGCCCTCCTCCTCTTCCCCTCTTGATCTCTCGAACCCCGTCTTCGTCGTCGCCCGCGAACCCCGCGCCAGAAATTGTCCAAGGAGGGCGTTTCCTTCCCCGGCATTGCACCCTCAGGGTCAGCCGGTCTCACCGTTATCCTTTCCTGCTCGCCGCCGGGCATTGCACCGTCCGGGTCAGCCGTCATTCTTGCTCTTTTCACGGAACGGCCCATTTTTCAGGGGTGGTGCAGCGCCGTACACGCGCAAGCTCGCAGTGTCAATGTACCACGCCATGCTTGTGCAAAAGTTCAGTGTTGTCCCTGATGCATAGAATTGGGCCGATTTCCTGAATGTTGCCAGCCATCACAGGCTGATGTATTGATGGCCTGCACTGGGCCTTCGCTGAATAGTGCTTGTACAGCACCCACGTTGCATGCAGTCTGGCCATTGCACACAGTCTGGCCATAGGACCAAAACAGGGTGTACTACGACGGCGGCGGCCCTCCTCCTCATCCTCCTCCTCGGGCCAGACCCTAGCGGCCCTCCTCCTCCTCCTCCTCGGGCGGCCCCAGGGGACCGTTTCGGACCAGACCCTAGCGGCCCTTCTTCTCCTCCTCGCCCTCCTCCTCTTCCCCCCTTGATCTCTCGAACCCCGTCTTCGTGATCATATGCTGCTCGCCGCCGGGCATTGCACCCTCCGGGTCAGCCCTCGTCCTCGGTCTTTTCCTGCCCCGGCATTGCAACCTCAGGGTCAGCCGTCCCCCCCGTTCGCCTCTCATCCTCTCCGCCGGGCAGTGCACCCTCAGGGTCAGCTCATGTCCACCTCCTCTTAATATTGTATTGAACATGTCGTAGTCATTTTCGCTCTTGGCTCAAATATCTGCGGCCGGTGCCGCCGACCTTGAACGAACCCGACGCGTTCGGGTCCTTCGTATGGGCTCCCTCTTGGAGCCGTCCTCGGGGCCTCCTGGGCCGTCTTGGGGGCCTCTTGGGTCGTCGTGGGGCCGTCTTGGGTCGTCTTGGGGCGATCTTGGGGGCCTCTTGGGTTGTCTTGGAGCGCCAGAAATTGTCCAAGGAGGGCGCTGTGCAGGCGCTTGCGGCAGATCCGAGTATGCCTCTTTGCTCCGGGTCGGCCTCCTCCTCTCCGCCGGGCATTGCACCCTCGGGGTCAGCCCCTGTCCTCGTTGTCTTCCTGCGCCGACATTGCATCCTCCGGGTCAGCCGTACTCCCGTTCGCCTCTCCTCCGTTCCGCTGGGCAGTGCACCTCCAGGGTCAGCCCCCGCCCCCGCGCGTTTCCTTCCCCGGCATTGCACCCTCAGGGTCAGCCGGTCTCACCGTTATCCTTTCCTGCTCGCCGCCGGGCATTGCACCCTCCGGGTCAGCCCTCGTCCTCGGTCTTTTCCTGCCCCGGCATTGCACCCTCAGGGTCAGCCGGTCCCCCCGTTCGCCTCTCCTTCTCTCCGCCGGGCAGTGCATCCTCAGGGTCAGCTCATGTCCACCCTCTCTTAATATTGTATTGAACATTTCGTAGCCACTTTGGCTCTTGGCACAAATATCTTTGTGCATTTGCGACGAACAGTTGTTCGAGAGGCGATTGCACCCCCAGGGTC